TGCCAATATTCCGAGCCAATCGTGAACAGATGTACGCTATGTGATATTTCCATGAGAGCTTATCATCAATGAAAACGCCTAGGTATTTAATATGGTCCTTTTTTTCAAGATAATCGACTGTTCCATCTCTATTTTTTATTTTAATATTTATATTTCCTGTTATCTTTTTCCTTGCAGATTTAATTATCATATAATTAGTTTTCTTAACATTTATAGATAGTTTATTTATATCACACCACTCTTTTATTTTAGTAAGCTCTTCATTAATTAGTGTTTCAAGGTCAGTAATTGAGGAGGAGGAGGCAAAAATGTTAGTATCATCAGCGAATATCCTAAAAGATAATTTGCTCGAACAGTTTGGCATATCATTTATGTAAATTAAGAACAGCAGTGGGCCCAAGGAACTCCCCTGTGGAATTCCACATGTAATTGTTTGTTTAGGTGATTCCAGGTTATTCAATGATACATATTGTTGTCTATTTGTCAAGTAGTTAGTAAACCATTCTAAGGGAGTTCCTCTTATACCGTATGCTTCTAATTTTTTTAACAATATTTGATGATTAACTGTATCAAACGCTTTGGAAAAGTCTAAGAATACTCCGCACGTGTAAAGATTTTTATCAATCGCTTTCTTAAAATTATCAGTTATCTCCACTATAGCATGTTCTGTTGATCTGCCTTTTCGAAAACCAAATTGATATTTACTTAAAATGTTATGTTTTTCCAGGTAACCCAAAATTTGTGAGTACACTAACTTTTCGAAGATTTGTGCAAAAGAGTATAGCGTAGAAATAGGTCTAAAATTTGATGGGTCAGTGATATCACCACCTTTATCTACCGGCGTTATTCTAGATATCTTTAAAATGTCAGGCATAATTCCCTGTTCAAGAGAGTTGTTGAACACCGCTGTAAGTACATCACTAATGTGATCAGCAGCAAGTTTAATTTAAGGAAGTCCAAAACAGAGTATCGAAAGAGAATGAGCTTATGTCCAACGTGGAAAGTTTAGAAACACTGAACGAAAGTGAGACTCAGTGAGATGTCAAAAAAGCCAAGCTTGAACTTCAGAAACACCAAGCAGAAATGCATCCAGGATATTCCTTCACAGGCGACAATGTAGACATGTGAAGATAGACATATGACCTTAAAGAGTAAGATAAAGGTACAATTTAAAATATTTTATATGCAACTACTACGTATAATGAATGGTTTGTATTTATCGCCAAAGAAATTAACAGGGTAATTATGTTGCTGTTTATTTATGAGTAACAAAACTCTGGTCGAGAGTATAAATTCCTGTGTGTGGTTTAAAAATATATATATGAAAGAATATTTTGTGTGAACGGGAGACATAGAATTTCCAGAATTTTTGTCAAGATTTCTTGCCAGTGAATGGCAATGCTGTACACTTTCGTCCTTTTCAGATTGAGGCAGGAGCTCTGTCATTTAGTTTTTGAACATATTTAGGGAGCAGTCATTTATGCCCGGGGGGGGGGGGTGGTGGTGTTGGAAGATATTTCTAAACTCATGGTAAATTTTTCATGGCCCCTCATTCCTTCAAAATATTTTTTCATGCCCCCCCCTTTAAATATAATAAATTTTCATAGCCCCCCCCCCCGAACTCTTCCCCGTGATGGAACTTGCATTGTGGCCCAATCTCGCAAGCGACAGTGTAGATTTGTATATTATAGCAATGTATATTATAGTAAAAATATGTAATAAAATATAAATTTTAAAACGAAATTGACTTGTCTATTTGATAGTGCGTGTTCTCCTTTTATTCCTCTTTTGTTGGACTAATATTTTCAGAGACTTTGCACTCGATTGGTACTTGACCCTTGCGAGATTGGGCCACCTGTTGGGCAATTAATGATTTTCGATGGCTGGGGGCAGTGGGAAATCAAAACAACAAGTCCAATATGGCGGGGAAATTTATTTTTATCTTGTATAAATGGACGAATTGAACAGAATTAAAAACTCTTGACAAAATGAAGTTGAATTTTAAAGAAAACTATTTTGTCATCATGTCATGCATAAAATAAATAAATAATCACACAGGCAAGTCATGTAATTAATTATTAATGGCTTGTGCAATTTTGGCACATATCACTCATAGTGTTAATCATTAATTGCACTCCTTCCCATGTGATTACCTATACTTATATAGCATTGACATTTATATTACAATGAACTATAATTGCTGATGTTTTATGATTATTGTACATTATTTTTGGTGCCCCCCCCCTCTACCTTTCTTTGCTATTTTTGGTAGCCTGCCCCTAAGTGGTTAATACATTTTTGGTGGCCCCCCAAATATCTTCCCCCCCCCAGCATTAATGACTGCTCCCGCCAAACATGTACCTGAATTGTCCTGGTATAAAGACTTTTTACCTGATCACATACAGCATAATAAAATGGAGGAGACGAAGAGAAAGACAGAAAATGTAATTTATGATTAGGCAAACTTCTTTTTGGCCATGCATTTGTTAATGAATACTACATTGCTTTATATATCCCGGACGATATGGAAATTACCCCTCCCCCTTTGTCCCCAAAATTACTATGTAAGAGTGCCAGATTTAATGTATAAACATCACATTTTATATCCTTGCAGTCAGTTTAAATATTATTTGGCTTAACTGACTGTTCAAGGACCCGGTCCAGTCCTAATTTAGTTCGGATTAGGAATATTACAACTAGAAAATGTTTTTTTAAAATCGATTTGGGTGTATCGAGAAGAAAGAGGACGAGCAGAAAGAGGACGATATGATTGATATCCTTGACAGGGTTTTTTTCCGGATTATCTCTTGGGTCCGTTTTTGCAGAGAAGATTGAGTTTAGCTGAACAGTTGGGGTGGCTGCA